TGGCGGTGGGAGACAGCCTGAGAAGCTTTGGCACAGGGGCTCTGGCGAGATGCTCTGAATTTGCCGAGGTGGGAAGGGGACAGTGTGTTCCAGAGGAGAGGTCAGGGAGCCCAACCAGAGTTTTGTGACCATTCTTAACCAGCTGCCTTGGCTCCATTGAGCTGGCATTGTTAAGAACAGTGACAAAGATCCATGGGTCAACAGTGATCACAACTGATCTTGCTTACAAGAGACACAAAACTGACAATCTGGCTCATACACCTGCGCTGAACAGGGAACAGGTCTGGGTGCGGGCTCCAGTTGGTTCAATAAAAAGAGAATATATAAATTCATATAATTGAAAAGTCCAAGGGGGCGCCGGAGCGATGGCTCAGAGGTTAAGAGCACTGTTTGCTCTTCCAAAGGTCCTGAGTTCAATTCCCAGCAACCATATGGTGGCTCACAACCATCTGTAATGAGATCTGGCGCCCTCTTCTGGCCTGCAGGGATATGTGCACTGTATACATAATAAATAAATAAATTTTAAAAAAAAGTAGTCATGAAGCTGGGTGGTGGTGGTACATGCCTTTAATCCCAGCACTCAGGAGGCAGAGCCAGACGGATCTCTGTGAGTTCGGGGCCAGCCTGGTCTACAGAGGGAGTTCCAAGACAAGCTCCAAAGCTACACAGAGAAACCCTGTCTCAAAAAACAAAACAAAACAAAAAAGTCCAAGGAAGTCCAGACTCATGCCTTCCACTCTTGTCCTTCTATTCTTTCCCACTGCTCATCTCTGCTGTCAGCGGACGGCTGTACAGCCGCTCTTACTGCCCACCTCTAAGCCAGCCTCTGTGACCAACCAAGACGGCGTTGGACTCTGATGGTTAGAGCTAAGTCCACACTCATCTTGGGTCACAAGTAGAAAAACAGCAACACGTCAGTCACAAGGGCTGAAAACAGGACAGTCTGGGCTGGCTGCAGAAGGCCTGGGGACAGGGGGGCTGCCTGCAGGGGGACCACATGCTGCCCCGAGGGGAGAGTGGGGCAGAAGCCCAGGCAGGAGGCGATTACTGGAGACAGCAAGGCAGGAGGTTCAAAGAGAAGGTTAGATGCAGTCCCCAGTGCGTGTGTCTGGAGAGGCTGAAGACAAAGTGAACGACTGCAGAGAAGGTTAGATGCAGTCCCCAGTGCGTGTGTCTGGAGAGGCTGAAGACAAAGTGAACGACTGCAGACTCCAGACAGGTGGCTGAGTCATCTCTTCTCTGGAAGGTCAGAAATCCGGGAGGGGACAGATGCTGGCCCTGCGAGGGGGAGTGGGAGTTTCAGAGACGGAGGCTGGGGGCTGCTGTCTACAGAAGTCCTCAGGGAAGGAAGGAACAACTTCTGGACCCCAATTCAGCCCCCTAGTCCCTGGGTGGGTTCGGGTACCTCACCCCGGAGCACTCTCACTTTCTGTCCTCGAGGTCCTCCAAGCTTGCCGTGGAGGAAGAACGGCAAATCCAAAGAAACAGTCCCCGACTCCCAGGCTCCAGTGAGGAGCTGACATTAAGTCACATTCATCACGGAGGGGGTGATGGCATCAGTCCAGGGGGCAGAGAGGCTTTGCAGGGAGGGTGATGCCGGAGCTGAGCTGGAGCGATATGAAGAGAGGAGTGACAGACAAAGAACCACACATTCCTCACAGGGCTCAGCAGTGTGTCCCGAAGTCTCAGACAGGGGCTTCAGAGAATGGTCATAGGCACTCTCACAGTTAGACATTACCGGAGATCACTGGAGTCCCAGGTTTGCTATGGTGTGCCAGAAAAGTGGGTGGAGTCGGCGGCAGAAACAAGGCTGGTGAAAAAGTGACCCAAGAAAAGACGAGGAGAGTAGGTGGCTGCACCGGCAGACTCGAGGAAGAGGCGGGGGGTTGGAAGCTCCCCACTTTCCACGGTACACCTCTTGCAGGGCCTATCCCCACCCTCTCAGCCTACAATGCTTCCACGCGTCCTCTGAGGCTGTTGCAGCCTGCAGAAACAGGCGGGGTAACAAAATGCATGCATCACAGGCAGATAAAAGGGGAGCACTGTGGGGGAAAAGTAGTCATTTCTGAAACTTCGTGGCTTTTCTTTCAGAGACAAGCAATTAAAAATAAGGGGAAGGAGACCCCCAAACTATGGACAATGGAGAGATGCCCCCCGCAGCTGCCTAAGTGGCAAAGTTTGTGTGCAGCACTGCCCTCTGCTGGCCACAGCTAGATCTGCAGCTGAATGGCAGTGGCATCTGCCATCTTGACCGGACTATTGAGAGCACAGGTGATTTGGGCTTTTGAATCATTGTAAGTTGAGTAACATGCCATCATTAAATCCACACATCCTGCTCTTAGAAACTGATTCCGCAGCTTGGGTTTTTAAACTTTCTAGTTGACTGTTCTAATAAGACAAGCGCTCTATGAAAAACCTTAAGGGCTTGAAAAAGCGTTTGTTTGTTTTTAGCATTTCGATGTACATATAAAGGTCATAGTCACTTGGAGATGGGCTATGAAAGTAGAATAATTTCCTAGAATTAACTAATTTCCAAATAATGTCTGATAATTCCATAATGTTAACAATAATGAGCAACATGGATTGAACATGTATAGTTATTGGTACCTTTTATACACTACATTAATTTTTATATATGTGTGCAAGTGGATGAGAGAGAGAGAGAGAGAGAGAGAGAGAGAGAGAGAGAGAGAGAGAGAGAGAGAGAGAGAGAGAGAGAGAGAGAGAGAGAGAGAGAGAGAGAGAGAGAATGTGTTATTCCTTAGGCACAGTCCACCTTCTTAATACTTTTTTGTTGTTATTGTTTTCTGAGGCAGGGTTTCTCTGTGTAACTGCCTTGGCTGTCCTGGAACTCACTCTGTAGACCAGACTGTCCTGGAACTCACAGAGATCCACCTGCCTCTGCCTCTGGAGTGCTGGGATTAAAGGTGTGCACCACCACCTTGCAGCCTTAATACTTTTTAGATGGGTTCTCTCACTGGCTTGGAGCCTGACAATTAAGTTGCGGGCTGGCCAGAAGCCCCAGGGGACCACCCGTTTCCACCTCCTCAGTGCTTAGAGTACAAGTACTAACTCCACACTCTGGAAGGTGGAGGAGGGCAGAGATTCTGATGGCCATCTGTCTATCTCAACCATCCCTCCTAGTATAAAATGGTTCCCCATTCTCCTCTGATAGCTACCCCAGGGGTCTTTAGCCTTAAATCACCTGTGAGATGTTTTTCCTGCTGATGAAGGACTTCTATATCTGCCATCTTATTTAAACCTCACGATCCCTGTGAAGCAGTTTGTTGCCTGTATTTCACAAGTTAGGAAACTAAAGCCGACACTTAGGTTTTTTGCCCATATTCTCACAGCTGGGTCAAGTGATTTATTCTGCCCATGTAATGGAAGCTGCTAAGCTGAGGTGAAACTTGACCAGAGGCTAGGTAAAGAGAGGACTAGGCAGGGTGGTATTGTTTTTGCTCTTTGGGGAGACCTGCCACCCAGCCCCTAAATAAATCACACACAGAGACTTATTCTCAATTATAAATGTCCGGCCTTAGCTTGGCTTGTTTCTTGCCAGCTTTACTTAACTTATTCTGACTAGCTTTTTTCTCTGTGCTTTTACCTTTCTCTATTTCTACATACCTTTCATTATTTTTTACTCCATGGCTTGATGTGTAGCTGGGTGGCTGGCCCCTGATGTCCTCCTCCTTCTCTGGCTGCTTCTTCTCTCTCCTCCTAGATTTCTCCTTCTAAATGTTCTGTCTGCCCGCTCCGACTATCCTTTCTCCTGTCTTGCTATTGGCTGTTCAGTTCTTTATTAGACCATCAGGTGTTTTAGACAGGCACAGTAACACTGCTTCACAGAGTTAAACAAATGCAACACAAACAAAAGTAACACAGCTTAGAATAATATTCCCCAACAGCAGGGCTGTGAGGAGAGGCAGGTCCCCACAGCACCATGGCCCAGGTCAACATTGTTCATTGTATCTGAAGACTTTTGATCTGGTCTCCATCAGAGATTCTAAAATTGAGGGGGTGGGCAGGGTTGAGAAATAAGGTAATGACAAAGACGAATGCGAAGTAAAGGCTGTTGGAGAGAAAATAAGGTTCTTAAAGGTTTTTCTCATCTCCTTTTAATATTTCTACATCCTCCTGTGGAATTGAACCCTTGGTTATGATCAAATGCCACAGAGCACACAGAGCCCTGACCCATGTCCCCCAGTGTGATGACACGCACGGAGAGTTTCTTTCATTCCTGGAGTTGGTTGTTACAGGTTTGTCCTTCTGGGAGGTTTCGGGAGGTCCTAATTTGCTTTCCCATTTTCCTGCCCCCACTTTTATCAGGGTCCTTATCACTGAGAAGGGCTGTCATTATTATATGATCACAAAGCTTTCCTTTGGGGTTAGTTTAAAATATTTCAAGTTTCATTTTCATTGTGAAATGTTCCTACCCAAAAGAAAAGTGGCACAGAAACAGGTAGACACTTGACAACAAACTTAAAATAGTTGCCTTTTCTAAACGCCCTTATAGTATTGATTTCCAAACGAATCCCATGATGTTTGGAGATTATGCATCAGCTTGCTGAAAGGAACATTTCTAGACTAATTAAGTTCCATGGAATGTCTCTGAGCAGAGCAAACAAAACAAGAAGGATTTACTAATTAGGCAGCTCCCAGAACCAAAGAAGGTTGTTTTGGTGTGTGTGTGCGTGTGTGTAGGGGGACTAGGGGGATGCTTTTCAAATCTTTATTTTTAACCGACACATAAAAATATACTAAAGGGTACCATATGATATTTCCATATATGTATACATTGTATAATATTTTATATTAAACATACCTGTCCTCAATTATCCTCATTTCTAGCTTTTTGAGCACACAGTACCTTGCTGTTACCGGCAGTCACCACTCTGTGTAACAGAGAGGCACAATTTCTTGCGCCTATCTTTTTTTTTTTTTTTTTTTTGGTTTTTCGAGACAGGGTTTCTCTGTGTAGCTTTGTGCCTTTCCTGGAACTCGCTTTGGAGATGAGGCTGGCCTCGAACTCACAGAGATCCGCCTGGCTCTGCCTCCCGAGTGCTGGGATTAAAGGCGTGCGCCACCACCGCCCGGCTCTTGCTCCTATCTTAACAGCCCCTCTCCCCGTCCAGAACAGTTCTGAGAACTCCCGCCAGCAACCTGACCAAGCAATATTTACTAGAAAAAAAACAAAGGTAAGAAACAGAAAACAACTTAATTGATTACAGCCTCATCAATCAACCTGTCAATGGTCACAGCTTCATTAAGAGCTGGCTACATGGTCTCCTGTGTCCAGCCAAGGCTCAGTTTCTGTTCTTGGAGTCTGTATTGGTTGATCTGTTAGGCCCAGGGCATGAGTTTGGCCTTCTAGAAAGGTTCCTGAAAAGCTTTCCAATGATGTTACCATTGCTAGGTTTTGGTGGTAGTACATCTCGCTGTGGACTATCGTGGTAACTGTTCTGTGTCTGCTCGCCAAGAATGCCCATTGTGCTGTTACTGGGGAATGTGTTCTAGATAAACACTCAAGTCAAGGTGGCTGGCAGAGTTCAGGTCTTCCACGTCTTTGCTGATTTTCTGCCTGCTTTTTTTTTTTCTTTTAAGTTACGTATGGTGATATTTTATTTGTATTAAAATGTTATTTGTATGTTAATAAATAAAGTTGCCCGGGGGTCAGAGCTATTAGCAAGCCATAGGAAAGCAGGGCAGTGGTGGCGTACACTTGTAATCCCAGCACTTGGTAGGCAGAGCTGGGTAAGTCTCTGTGTGTTCAGGGATACAGCCATTATTGGATACACATGCCTTTAATCTCAATACCAATCATGGAAAACCTGGAGGCCTATACAGACAGGCTGTGAGGAGGCGGTCATGTGGTTGGGTTTACAACCAATGAGAAGGCAGGACAGGAACTCTATATAAAGACTTTAACACAGGGGTAGCTCTGGTTCGGAGAGGTAGGACCACCGCAGGAGGAAGGGTAAGGTTTTAGCTCTTAGCTCTGACCTCTTGACTTTCTTCTTTGCATTGGTTCTGTGTTTCTTATTTAATAAGAAGGTTGTTTACATCTACAGTTACATATTGCTACTCTTATGTATGAGTATTTTGTCTCCATGTGCACCATGTGTGTGCCTGGTGCCTGCTGAGGCCAGAAGAGGGTGTCAGATCCCCTAAAACTGGAGTTACTGGAGTCACAGAAGGTTGTGAGCCACCAGCAGGTGCTGGGAATTGAACCTGAGTCCTGTGGAAGAGGAGCCAGTGCTCTTAATCATGGGGCCATCTCTCCAGCCCCTCTACGTGTTCTTTGAACAGCCAGACAAAGGTCGTTGCAATCTCCACTACAGTCATAGACTCGTCTATTTCTTCTTTAGGTTCCTTCATTTCCAATTTCACACATTTTAACAATCTGTTTTTATTATGCTGTGTCTTCTTGTTGAATTGAACCCCTGTTATTATGAAATGTTCCTCATTATCTCTGAAATATTCCCTGCTCTGAATTCCACTTTGATGACAGCATGGCCATTTCTTTATGTTGAAAGTAGATCTCTTGAATTCTGTTCTTCATTCCAATTTTTATTCCTCTATTTTCTACTTTATTTTAGATTATTTGAATATCCAGTACTGTAGTTGATTAACTGTGTTTGGATAATTAGTGTTCCATTTCAATTTACCTATTGGTTTTTGGTACTTCAGGGGTTGCAATATGCACCCCTAAACCACCACACTCCACCAACAGGTGCCATTTCATCATTTCAGATGAAATACAGGCCCTTTCAGAGTCTATCCGTCCTTTTTCCTTCCTTCTTATGTCTACAGACAGTGAAATATATTCTATACAGCTTAGGGTTTTTTCTCTTTCAATAGCCGTAACATGCTTTAACCTCTGATGAGAGAAGAGCTGTTTTCACTAACATAGATATATGCTGCATCTTTTTTCTTAGGTTGCTCCTTACATCCCAAGCCTCCTTCTAATGTCATCTCTCTTCAGCCCAAAGATCATCACCAGCAATTCTTTCTGGGTAGGTCTGTTGGCCATAAATTCCTTTGTTTTCTTCATGGCATAGGACACCACAATGACTACGGTTAGACCCTCCTTTTGGGTCAAAAGAGCAAAAATGAAAAGGCCAATAAATTCCCTACTTGGCAAATTAATTTTAAAGTATACTTTTTAAAAGGAAGATTTTGAAAGGAGGTGCCCTGAATTGATGTGCCTTTCCCCAGAAGACAAAGGTTACTAGATGAAAATCCCAGGGCCAGGCATGGGATACCTCCTTATGAGTTATTGGTCAAGGAGGCCCCAGAGACCCCCACAGCAACAGACTATTGTCATTTTCTATATTGCTCAGTATAACTAGATGGTAAAACCCTATTTCTGATGACACCGTACACTTCCGTTGTAGAAAATGGAAATCAAGCTGTAGACTTCCTTCCTGTTGACTAGCTTTCATAGTGGGTTAAAAAAAAAAGTGCCATCCAGGAAAAGGTCACAAATGGTCTCAGCCAGCACTGGACTCTGCGTACTACAATACTGACCTTCTGGTCAAGATGCACATACCAGGCAATAGTGGCATGACTGTTATTGGGGAACCAACAGTCCTTTTAAAAATGTATTTTAGGCCTATTCCACTGCAGAACATTCATGCCTGCACTGTAAATATGTTCATAGCCCATAGCTGGGAGGGTCACAGGACCTAAACAGAAAACCTATTACTATTATTTTATTAAATGGATATGTTGTCAAACTAACTGCCTTTTATATATGTGAGTAGTAATTCCTATAAATTAGTACTGTTGTCAGCTTGGTCAGAGAATCTTTTTTAAAAAGATTTATTTGCCTATTTTTATTTTTTAAGATTTATTTTACTCAGATGAGTCTTTTGCCTGCTTGTATGTTATGTATACCACATGTGTGTGCCTGGTACCTGAGATTGTCAGAAGAGGGTGCCAGACCTTCTAGAACTGGAATTACAGACAAGTGTGAGCCACCGTGTGTGTGCTGGGAATTGAATCTACAAGAACAAGTGCTCTGAAACACTAAGCCATCTCTTCAGTCCCAGAGAAGCTTTAAAAACAGTTAACAACAGTTAATGCAGAGACCCACAGCAGGTCAAGTCCTACGACGAATCCATGAAGATTGAAGCTCTGCCCTAAATGGGACATCTCTATCAAACCCTGACGACTCGGGAAACATTGCAGAAGAGGGTGAAGAGTGGAAAAGCCAGAAGGTGAGGAGCAGAGCTGTGAAACCTGTCTCCTGGACATGATGTGACCATTGCACTCAAGAGCTCTCAGGGGCTATGGCTAGTCACCTGCACAAGGCCAACATACAGCCAAGCTGGTCAACATTTTAGTATGGATTTGAGAGGCACTCAGAAGGCCTCACCCCTGACTGTGGAGCTATTGGTAGTTGAGGGCTTCTAGAGGTGTGGAAGATGGTTTTCTTCCAGAATGTGGCTACTGGTAGATTTACCAGACTCCAGTGCATGGCCCCACCCCCACTCACGTGCAGGTACCACTAAATGGACTCAGTCACATAAAAGAAGAGTGTATGAAGTCGGGAGTGGGTGGGTTGGGGTGTGTCCTGAGGATTAGGGTGGATACAATCAAGGTACACTGCATAGATGTATGAAAGTTATCAATGAATAGAAATATTCCTTAAAAAATGGGGAGACCACCACAGAGATTCATCTCTGCAGATCTTTTAGACCTTTTGTCTTTTTCTCATGTCCAGTGATTTTAATTATAATCAATATAACAGATTGTAATTGACTTACTCTATTTTGATTCAAGTTTGTCTCATCTGTGTTGGGTTTAATCACCCCCTGCCTCCCTTGCCCTAACTTTTTATTACAGAAGTTGGGTTATAGATTTGAAGGTTTTTTTCCCTTTTCTTTTCTCAGATAAACATTTAAAACTATAAATTTTCCTCTGAGTACTGTTTTAGTTATGTCTCATACATTTTGATATAGTATATTCATAATATTTTTCAGCTCAAAATATTCATTAATTTCCTTGTTCTTGTTTGAACCATGGATTAGCTAAAGCGCTCTGTTTAATTTCCAAACATTTATTTATTTGTTTAAAGGTTTATTTTTATTCATATGTAGGAGTGTTTGGGCTACACATATGTTATCCACCATATGCATGCTTGGTGCCCAGGGAGGCCAGAAGAGAACATTGAATTTCCTGGTACTGGAGTTACAGATGGTTGTGAGCCATGCACACAGGTGCTGGAGTCTAATCTGGATCTTCTGAATGAGCCTCCAGTGGTCTTAACCACAGGGCCGTCTCTCTAGCCCCCTGATATCTAAATATCTTCTCCAGATATGGTGTTTTGACTCTTGAATTCTAATTTAATCCTGACGAGTTAATGAAACACAGTAAGAACTGTTTCTGTTAACTATATCAAGCATATTAGGCTTGTTTTTATGACCAATACAATTGTCATCCTACTGAATATCGTTGTGACATTCACGAAGCAGTCAGTCATGATTTTGGGATGATGATTTACAAGAGTTAACTTAGTCAACTTAGTGGTCAGCACCTCTATACGCCTCTAATTTTCTATTTTTTCTGTAAACTGCTAGGCAAATGTCATGGTCCTGCACTTCTCTCCCTTTATTAGTTTTTGCTTTACTCTCCCCTGGAGATTCACACAGGGCCTCACACATGCCAGAAGTGCTCTACCACTGAGTCAGATCCTCAGCTCCCGGTTGATCTTTCTGTAAAGTTCTGAATTTGAGTAAACAGTTGGCCCTCCGAATACAGGGCTTATGCATCTGTAGATTTACCCAACCGCAAATCAAAAATATCTGAAATCTGCACTGCATCTGCACTGAACACTCAAGACTGTTTTCCTTGTAATTGTTGGAAATCATCCTAATTGAGGCATTATTGGCAATTGCAATAAATCTAGAGGTGACCTAAGGCCCACGGGCCCTACGCATAGTTCATGTTATACGGGGGCTTGAGCAGCCACAGACTCAGGGGCCCCGGGGGGATGCGGAGCCAACCCCACAGACACCCCCAGGCTACCATGTACCCTGGCAGGATCTTCTCTTCTTCAACTACGTTTTGAAATGTTTCTTTTGTCTTTGAGGACAAGCATCATCTTAAAACCCTTCCACCTGACGATGATATAAATACAGTTTTCTTACAATTACTTCTTTGCTGGCACATCTCTCTTCTCTCCAGCCTTGAACTTCTCTGAGTTTTTTTTTTTGTTTTTTGTTTTTTTTTATTTAAAGTGAGAAATGTGGTCTTCTGTAGGGAACATTTGTGAGCTTGCTGTTTTTCCTCATTTGATAGGGTCTGCCTTTCCAGAGTTTGGTCATTTATAGTTAATGCGGTTATTACATAATCGGGTTAAACTACAATAACTTGCTGTTCGCTTTCTAATTGCCTCAACTGGTCTTTGTTCTTTCTTTGATTTTGGATTCATTGACTTTAGAAAGAAAAAACCATACTCTACTGTTTCTCCACTGTTAGCTTATTGGTTATAACTTTTTCCTTTTTAAACCTATTTTTGCAGTGATTGCTACAATATGAATTTTTAACTTGTCACAAACTCTCTTCTGAGAGAATGTTGCCCTTCATAGCTCTATATTTCTGCTCCTTTCTTCCACCCCTTGCGTTACCCTTCTCATACGTGTTCCATGCATGTAAACCCTGCATGCATTGTTACCAGGAAGTTTACATAGTAAAAACATCTTTTTTTTTTCTTAAAGGCTTAAATTACAGATTCTGTATTTCATACATATTTACTGCCCAGCTTCCTTTATTGCTGTGTACAGATCCACATTCCTATCTGGTATTGCTTGCTTCTGTTTAAAAATTATCTCCTTTAATTTCTTTCCCTGATAATCTTCCTAGCGATAACTACCCAGCTTCAGCTGCCTAAAAATGCTTTATTTGCTGCCTTTATTTTTGAAAATATTTTTGCTGGATGCAGATTCTAGATTATTAGTTTTTTTCCTTTAATAACTTCTATTATTATTGTGACTTATTGTATATTAATATTTAGTAGGGTGAGTTCCTCCTCAATTCTTTTGTTTTTCTCTCTAATTATTTTTCCCACAGGAAGTTTAAAGCCATCTTGTCTGACTAAAAGAACTTTCTGTTGATACTTTTAAAAATTTCATGTGTAGGTTATCTTGGGAGTAATTAACGCTTTTCTGATCCTATACCTTCCTGTGTATGAGACAAGTTTGTCTTTTTACCTTTTTCCAAGTGTTCATTTGCATTTCTAAATAGCATCCAAGAAATTTTCCTCAAATAGGTCTTCAATATTTCTTACTATGTTTGGAGGCCTTTCATATTTTTGTGATTGGTCCTGTAGGTGATGAAGTCTTGTTATTTGCTCTAAGCAGCCTTTGTGTAGGGAGCCTGTTCTTCTCCACTAGTCTTGTCCCAACCATCTCACCATACTCACTCACATTCCCCATTCATTTGCTGGTGACTTTTCCAGTGTGCATTGCAATGGTTGTGCATTCTTACATCTGCCATCTTGGGAAACTGAGGTGAGCAGAAATGCTGCATTTAAAGCAATAGAGTTACAATAAGACAGATTCAGATAAAATAGTTTACAATGTGTGTAAAAATGTACATAGGCTTTGAAGAGAGAAAAAAGTAATATATGCAGTTACAGAAAAAATAGTTTTAAAAAAAATAAAGTCTTTAAAGATAAAGTAAAAGTGATATAAAAAAAAAAGCCAGGTAAGATGGATATCACACAGAGAATCTGGATTGTATTGTCTTTGTGATTTTTAACTGCAGAAAGACATTTGATTGTAAAGACTGCTCAGTTAAACCAATATGTATATTTTAAAGGTACCTTGACTTCAAAATTGTGTAAGGATATGTTGCTTTGGAAAGGAGGCTCTGCTTTTGTTTCCACAGAAAGCAAGAGGCTATGGGTTTGTTCCAGATTAAGATACATCAGGTTTGACGCCCTGAAAGGTCTCCAGTGACACCATGGCCCAGATGATCCAACATCCAGAATGGTTTCAAGGCAACTGGCTCAGAAAATACAGCCTCACAGACTACCTCATAATCCTAAAATTTTCTTTCTGTTCCCATAAGAATACAGCGCCCTCATCCAGCAGGAAGTAGTATGAGAAGCTACACCCAAATTCCCAAATATACCAAGCTGGCTTTGGAGATGGAATTGGCTCACTCCTTCTCTAAACCCAAGCATATTTGCTATAAAAAAATTTTTTGAGAGATTCTTTTGTCTTATATCAGAAGAGCCCTCTGGTGTGGGACAGAGAAAAACCATTATTTTTATTTAAAGCAGGTTGATTATAAATACAATCTCTTTCTAAAGAAGGAAAGGGGATAGTATAGATATATAGGATGAAAGGGTAGATTAATAAACCTACTTTTTTTAATGCATACATTGTTTGTTGTTTTTACTCAAAAAAGATATCCAATGAAAAGATTAATAACCATTAAGTACAAGCAAATTCACAATTAATTACAAACAAATTGCAATTTGATTAAAATTTACCACCTTATGAATTATAATGATATTTCATTTAATTCATTCACACAATATCTTGTTTCCTTAAATTCTGACCTGTGACCCAAGAAAATAAAGCTTTGGGGAAAGAGTTATGTAAACATTGAAGTCTACAATACATACTTTTGTTACCAATTCTATAGTCATGAATACAAAAGTTAGTGAACTTGAACAACAGTTTCCACTGGGTCTGGCCCCCATGGGGGGCAGCAATCTCTGCTGGACCTGCCTGAGCAGCAGGGATGCTGAGTGGTGCACTAATGGCATCCCCAGCAGAGGGAGACTTGCTTAGAGGGCTTTACAGCCTGACTTACAGCACCAGCCTGGATAATACATACCCCTGTAAGATGTGACTAAGGCAGAGAAATAAGGAAACAAGTACCCAGAACCAACAGGAAAGGGCCCATCTCACCAGAGCACATCAGGTCTGATGTATGTGTCCATGCAGAATGATCCCGGTAGCTCCAAACACCATAACCCTTCACTGGAGAAGGCCAGCCTGACCCATGCAGGCCTCTGACATCATATAACTACCAGGATGGATCAGACTATGAGAAGTCTCTATCCACACAGCAGGAACATTTATGTGGAAGTGCATAATACCAGAAAACGCTAAGCATCTCACAGGCAGCATTTGAGACTGTTTCCGACACCTTCCAATCAGCCTGCATAAAGCAAATCTTTTTTTTTTTTTTTTTTTTTTTTTTTTCCGAGACAGGGTTTCTCTGTGTAGCTCTGCGCCTTTCCTGGAACTCACTTGGTAGCCCAGGCTGGCCTCGAACTCACAGAGATCCGCCTGCCTCTGCCTCCGGAGTGCTGGGATTAAAGGCGTGCCCCACCACGCCTGGCCAATAAACCTACCTCTAAAGAGCAACACATTCACAGCATCTGCAGCACCTGAATGTCTTTTTATACTGTCCTGATAGTGCCTTTCTTCTTCCCCTCCGGTTCTGGATGCTTTAGTCTTCATTTAAACCCTTTTCATCCTGTTGCATTATGTATAGTTTATGGAGTGTACACGTTACCGATTTGTCATCTTTGGACTGTATTTCAAGGTAGCTCCTTTTCCACATGGTTAGATGGATTTTGCCTTGAGCGCATCTGCAGTAGGAACCACTTCCTGTGGAGTCCCACGGGCCTGTCTGCGCAGGCATCTGCGTGACTTGGTTCACATTCCCTTTGCTGGCTCTGCTCTTAGATAATTTTTATGTTTATTTTTTGACTATAACTTCCTTCAGTTATGGTTAGGAGAAACTCTGAAAAACACCCACACATGGCACAGTTTTGGAAGCTTGATTTCTGGAGGTCTCCTCTTCTACCACCCACAACGTCAGGCAGACAGTCAACTTCCTGCCACAGCCTTCCACCAGTGGACAGACTTTTCTAGTCCTTATATGGAGGAAACAGCCCCACCTGGCTTTTAGCTCTAGTCACCAAGACCACTTCTGTCTCCTGTCACTTGCAGCTCAAGGTTCAGCTCTTGGCTCCTGTGGCTCTTAAGACCCTGCACCTAGGTGCCACAGCCCTAGGAACCATTTGTTTTTAGCATCTGCTCAATGGTATAGGTTTGATTTCCTATTGTCTTCTGGGCATTTGGGAATTTTCCTTGCTTGTTGAGTTTGGCTATGAGATGATACTAGCAGCCATAGCGGCAAAGACATTTTGACTTTGCAATAGCAGTGCGACCCTTATCCCTCGTGTGCCCTGATGTCCTCAACATAACAGGAGGGAGGCAATTTGCAGAGGTAGTCTCTGACTCCAATCCATAACAATGGCCTGAGAGAGGACTGGGCGCTTTTGTAACAGTTGCTGTGCTTGTTTTTGTTACTAATATCATTACGTAATCTCACTGTTTTTTTTTTTAGAAACGTAGATAGTATTTTCCTGAGAGAAAGGGGTCCACAAATTCAAATGACAAGCAGACTAGATCTCCTGTCCTATAATGTTGTGGTTCAGCTTCCCAAGGTAAATCATGGTAGTTGATGAGCCGCACAAGCGGTTAAGGGTCGGCTTCGACAGCTTCTCTTACAAAGTAATGAGGCTGAATTCCAAGGTCTGCAGACTCTACCTTATTGACTTGCATGCCACCTCAGGGGTGTGTGTGGGGTGGGGGAAGGCACAGTGTGCCAACAGTAATTGTTAGTAAGCCCAGTTGGAGGATGTCGGGAGATGCTCAGAGGCCAAGGGTCTGAATGTTTCTCATTAATTATCTTCAAAACAAACTCTCAGCCGAAAAACCCCAATTAGAGAGCCTCTCATGGCTCAGACGGCCGTGGTGGCAAATGCGCCCTGCACTGGTTTTCATTTCAGAAATTGGAGCAGTGCAGTGGAAAACTGTGGACTCTGAGTCAGCCAGGCTGGGTTCAAATTCTTTCTCTCCCATCTACCAGCTTTAGGACAGTGGACAGATGAGCTGGTGGCTCCGTGCCTCAGTTTCCCCTTCTGAAAGATAGAGATAACAATATCACGGCATGCATTTCTCCACACTATTGCACAGATTAAAACAGTAGCTCTCTGAAGAGCCTGCCTAAGCTATTCAAGAGCGGATTAGCCATCACCCCATCCCTTATATGGTACTTCTTGGTCCTTCCATGGGGCGACCCTGAGGATCCTAAAGACGGTCCCTCCTGCCTGAGCAGAGGACACAGGATCTGGAAGCTGGTGATATTTTCCTTCCTTGGTCACATTCCCCTCCTTTCTGGTCTCTTCCAGTTCCTTTTAGTTCTCTTGACTCCAACTTCCTCTCCATCTCCTCTGGGTCTTCACACAAAGGCCCCCCCCACATACACACAGTGTCACTGGGCCTGTAGCTTGCCCTCAGGGTCTGGGACTCCGGACTCAAGCCTGGTGCTAGCCCCTGAGTGGTCTCTGTCCTGCAGCCTTGCCCAACCAAGTGGAGCTCCTAAATCCAGGGACTTTCTCTTCTCAGGGAAAGGCCTGAAAACTCAACTGAGGGTGAGTCTGCTGCCTCCCCAGCCGGAGATTGTTCTCGTGGTTAGGAAGGGGTGAGTGACGATGGCTTCAGTCCCCACAAAACTCTTTCCTCAAACGAGCATTGTGTGCCAAGCTGACTTCACCCCTCTTTAACTGGTTGCAAGGAGTCCAGTCCACTTTGGCTTTAATTAAAAGATCACGAAGCTTGGGTAAATGATGGAAGAAAGATATAGGAGCAAAGAGATTAAAGCTGTGCTTTGTTCTCATTGGCAAGTTTAAAGTTTGAAGAACATTGAGTTATTGAGCCTTTTGCCATTATGTCTGAGGGGAGGATAACAGAGCCAGCCCGTGGGGCACACATGTGTCCTTCTGAATGAGTTCTTAGCTTTGGTACTATCATTTGTCACTCGATAACTTTTACGGACAGATGCTCACACAGATCGACACTTTGATATATACATTTACACACCTAGAACTCTGTGCTTCCCCCAGTATCGAAAAGTGGAGAAACTGAAGTCAGTGAGAAAGCAGTGAGGCCTCTGTTTGTTTACTCATGTTGCTATAACAACAGGCCAGTAATCAAGCACCTTAGTGCAGCAGAAACATACTGCCTTGCAGTTCTGAGACTGGGGTTTGCTGCTGCACACTCCCTCTGGAGTATGGGGTGTGTTTGTGTGTGTGTGTGTGTGTGTGTGTGTGTGTGTGTGTGTGTGCGCGCGCGTGCACGCACACCTGGCCCCTCTCCTAGCTCCGCTAGTTCTTGGCTTGTGTGCCATAAACTCAGTCTGCATGTGGCATACTCCTGGTGTGTGCGTGCCTGTGGCCAGATTTCTCTTTTATAAGGACGTCAGTCATATTGGATTAGTAGCCTACCCTTCTCCAGAATGACATCATCTAACTAATTACATCTGTCTTTCTCTCCTACTTTTAAGACTCCCTATGATTGCACTGGACTCGTGTACTCCTGATGATTCAGAACGCTCCTGATGGAGGTCCTATCTCCATAGACTGGGTATTAGGATTTCAACATATGACCTTGGTTGGGATGGGGTGATACAATAGAATATTAGCTGAGCAAGTGGGCATAAAGAGCAGACCACGTAGAGGAGCATCCATGACTGACGGGCCTATCAGGGTGTTTGAGAGAGACACCAAGTAAGAGTTATTTTAGCCAAGGGAGGTAAAGCTGCAGTTGGGGTTGTTGGCAAGAAGAACTGTCATTTGGGTTTCTGGAGATGGACACTTTCCTTTGTGGACAGACAGTCTTGTCTGCTCATAAGTCACCAGGATAAACAATATGATTACACCAAAATAAAGAAACTTGTTCTTGGAACAAAATGATGATGTCACGCACCTGAATGTGGTAGCTGCAGGGTGAGACAAGAAGACCGTTTCCCCAAGTGAGGACTTACACTGGCCTATTGGTCTTGGGTATTAGTTACCTGTTTGCTGCTGCAACAAATTACCATGAACTTGCTGGATTGAAGCATGAGTTTATTCCCTTAGCACTGTTGTTCAGAAGTCTGATGTGGTTCTCACTAGGTTACAGTCAAGGTATGCTAAAGACTCTTTCCTCCAACCTCTAAGGCTACTCAAACTCCCTGGCCTGTGGCCTCTTCAAAGCTAGCAGTGTAGCATCTCCCTGACCCATCTTCCATCGTCGCATGCCCTTTGCTGAGCCTTTATTTTGCCTCTGACCTCTACTTCTACAGATTCTGGGCATGGTGACATGCTTCCCATCCCACCGCACAGGAAGCTGAGGACTAAGATGGGATGATGTTGAGATGTGGAGCTGCTTGAGTTGGGTAATGAAACCCTGTCTCAAACCTCCAAAGCAAGAGAGGAAAAAGGAACTCAGGACAGTCACTCACACCTGTAGTCCCGGCACTTGGAAGGTGATGGCTGGAGGTCCAGGAGTTCCAGGCCAGCCTGGGGCTGCATAGCAAGACCCCGTTACAAAAACCAGGGACAAGTGACACAGGATTCCATTGCCTGCCACTCTGCAGAGAGCGATGCCAGGTGCTCTCCTTCGCTCATGGTCAGTCCTGGAAGAAACGGAAGTTCCGGAGCCAGGTGGGCTGCGGCAGCCTGAACACATATATTAGGTCAAGAGAAGGCATGGTGCTTCCTGCCCTCTGGGCTGACGGGTTGGAGGAGGTCACGGCAGTCAGCTTTTGGCCATTGCGGCAAACACATCATGGAAACAACACAAAGGGAGGAAAGATTTATTTTGTCTCTTGGTTTCAGGGTGTCGTCCATGGTCATTTGACTCTGGTGCTGCAGGGCCTGAAGTGAGACGGAACATCATGGCCGGGAACATGGGGTGAAGGGCAGTGGCTCACTCCATGGTGGACGGGAGGCAGAGAGAGAGGAAGGTCTATCCAAGGAAAAGAGAGACCCTTCAATGGCACACCCTCCTTCGAATAGCTCATTCAACTGTGAGCTTTAGGGGGCTCGTCCGCTGATGAGTTAATGACCTTGTGACCCAATTGTCTCTCCAGAGTGCCACCAGATGAGGCTTTGTGAGTATGGGGGGGGGGGGGGGGGTTGGGAGGGTAGTGGATAACGTCTTCAGAGGAAAGTTTGGACAAGAATGTACACTTGGTGTTCTGTTTGCCTTTGTTTTTCTTTCTTTCTTCCCCCCCCCCCGCCCCCGACATGTTTTAAGTGAAGAAAATGAGCTGTTCAAGTTTTGGTCTTAGACACCCAGCTCACAGTGGTCCACAGAGATTTAAGTTTTTAAGTTCTTACCAATTTTGATGGTCCAAAATGCATCTCCAGGAAAAAAAAAAAAAACCAACACAGTAATGGGATCACTGACAGCTGGGATTCCCATTGGTCATGGGAACAAAGAGAAGGAAGGGGGCCTTGACTCGGTTCAAAAGGACATTTGGGGTCAGCTGTGCCTCACCCTAGACTTGTCTCATAGGCCCTTATCACTCATCCTCTGGTTTGGCCGTGGGATGTGGGTCTTCATCCATGAGGAAGTGACCATTGCTACATTCAGCAAACAGCTGTAGGGAGACACTTTAGTGTGAGGGGGCCCAACCTTAGCAAGACTGAGTGGAGATCCTGTCAGAGCTCACAGAGGGAAAGGGGGACTTAGAGGCTTGAGGAATTAGGAAAAGAAGACAAAATAATGATAATGGTTTATTATTATTATTATTATTATTATTATTATTATTATTTTATTATTATATCTAGAGACAGAATCTGTGCTGTGGTGGGAACACTGGCCTAAATCTACCGGGCTCACGTGAGAAGGGTGCCTGTCTCCTAGCCTCCCAAGCAGCTAAGACTTTTTGAAATCAGCCCTTAAAGGATTGACTCAGTAAAAAGAAGGTTCTAGAAGACAATTTAGATAAATTAGGAGAGAAAACATATGGGACATGGTAATATGTTGGACATATGTGTAACAAAATTATATGTATAAAAACAAAACAAAATTCAAGAGGGTTAGATGATACACAGAGTCTGTGTGTCCTGGGTCCTCAATCACCCAATTCTTTCTCTAGAGGTAATCTTGATATTAATGCATATTTAGCAGAGAACCCATCCACTCCCTCCCTCACAGCTGAATGGTTGAACCATCTTTTAAGAACAGAACCAAGCATGTGTGTTTCCATTGTTTTCTCTGTGGTGAGTGATGTGACAACTCTTTCCAACCACTTACTCCACATAAAAGTCTCCACACACCATTTTGAGGGCCAAGTTCCTGCCTCAAGATGCAGAAAATTTGAGGCCAAAGGTAATTATACAATGTTAACCGATCCCTGCCCCCACCCTGAAATCCACAAATATCTCCAGAGACTTTGGGTTCCGACAGGGCACTCATTGTGGGATTGAGCCAAAAGGAGCAGGATCCAGATCTAAGGCCCTGGAAGCCCCAGCAGATCTGTGGCATAATCGTCAGATGGAGACCAGATAGGCTCAGGTGGGGACCAGGGCCGCTGGAGACAGGCAGGGCTTCCTCTGCCAGGAGCTAATGTGCGAAGGGGTTCCCCAGGGGACCCTTAGAGACCACTGGCATGCGGCATGGCACTGGAAAAGAGGGGTTCACAGACTAGGGAGGAAAGCGGAGAGCACGCAGATGGAGCCCAACTCTCCCCAGCTGGGTTTCCTGACCAGAGAAGGCCTCCCTCATGGAAAGGTTACAAGGGAAAGATTCCGATTTTTCTTCCCCTGCTGTGAAATCAATTAAAAACAGGAGGGATACAAAATGGTTTCCTAACCTCCTCCACCTCCTGGCTTGCTTTCTTCTTGGGGATGGGCCAGGCCCGAGTGAGGAGAGACAGGAGTCTCATGGTCTGAAAATTCAGCAGCAGCTTAAAGAATGGTGGCCTTTTGCCCCAGCTCTCCTCAGGGGACCTGAGGCTGGCTGGGAAATGTCTCCCTGGAACATGCACAGAGGAGGAGGATCTCGGGGAAGAGGAGCACAGAGGAGCCAGCCTCAGCTTCTGTGGCCCACAGGCTCCTCCAGAATAAAGCAAGCAGATTTACAAGAGAATTTATTTCCCACCAAATAATTCAAAGGACTTGTGATGTTTAGACATTATGGATTTATAGGAAGCAACATCAATACTTTTTCATTCTTGCTTTGGTCTATGAAAACTGATCCTGATAATATTTACTGAGTGAGTTCCACTTTGATCCAGGCACTTAATTAGGCACTTTCTTAGATTAACTCTGATTTGTATAATACCATGCCAGATTAAATAATATTTTCTCCAGTTTCAATATAAGGAAAATGAGGTCCAGAGAGGCTAAATAATCTGGCAAAGACAAAAGAATAAATGTCAAAGCCAAGTCCAATTTACATTGTCTGCTAACAATGATAATGCTAATATAACACTAGTGATTGTAATAATAGTTGTACGTTGGTTGAATGCCTGTGTGTCTGATTGGACTCTTTGGTAAGTGATACCTGTAATCGTCATAACAAGCAGAGTGAAAAAGGTTCCCAAGATCCTCTTACAGATGAAAAGGTCATAGTTCAGCAAACAACTCAAGGCCATGCGCTGACTTGGTGAGTCTGGCCTTGAACCCAGGTCTTTTTGGGTTCTTTGATGTTGGTATTCAGTCCGATATGAATGAATGAAACTTCAGGGATTCAGGATGACACATTTGTCCCTAGGTACTTCTGGTTCTTCCCTCATCCCCAGACAGAGGCCCCAGCTTGTCTGTGGTTCTCAGAGGCTGAACTGGGCTGTACACACAGAACACAGAGCCCCTGCCAACACGCATTGTTCTCAGCCACATGTAATGTTTCCTAGGGCCTTGGCCAACTTGGCCTCGGCATTTTAGACATCTTGAGGGCCGTGGTTCTAAGCATCCTGAGTGGATCGACAGATTTTGTTAGGACATTCTGCTTCAAACCACAAAGCTGCCTACATTTTTCCCAGTCAAGAGTATGAGCTGGAACTGACCGGTCATTTCAGAGTCTGGCAATCCAAGGTGCTCTTTGCACACTCGATGAGAAGTCATGTGAATACGGCTCCTGGGTTTAAATGCTCTCCCTACTCATTAGATAGGTCTGATCTGCTTTGACTAACTGCCTTCTCTGAACCTCCACTTTCCAAAACACAGCCTCCCCCACATCTTGGGGAGTCTTGACATCTGTATCTTCACTCACTTGTCCCCATAGCTCCTTCACCCTCAAACCTGTCACCCATGAACGACAGCAAGACAGTCTGTTTGGAGTGACTTGGAGAAACAGCCAAACCGTTTTCACATTCATTGTGTCTTTTGGGCCCATATTCACTAAAGGGCAGTACAGGACTAGAGCGCAAGTTCCCTCCAGATCCCTCTGAGCCCACATCTCTCACTCTGTTCCAAGTCATCGCCACGCTGAGTCAGAAACATTGCCCCAACCTGAAACAGTTCCCCTAGAGTCTTAAAAACTCAGCTTGAAAGGCTAAATCACCCTCAAAGTGGAGTTATTTCCAGAATAATCCATTTCAAAGGCTTATTTCTTGAAACTGAGATTGCCATACAATTTCAGTAATCTCACTAGTACCAGTGACCAATCATTCATTCATTCAATCAATCAATCATTCAGTAAAGGTTTATTGAATGTCCTTTAGGGATCAGGTACTGTGATCAAGGAATTTAATTGACAAAAGGCCCAACTACTGTGTTCTCCAACCCATCACCACTGTGGTCCTGGGGCCATGCTTCCCATGGGCAGCTCGCAGTCTCTGAGTGTGACTAGGCTGCTAAGGCACCTGCTCCTTGGGGACAGGATCCTCTGGTGGCCACCTTTGACATAAGGTACCTCGACAGCCTTGTTGAACTACTTTCCGCCGCTGTGTGGTCTAAGAGGGTTTTGCTCAACCTTCCCCGCTCTCTCCTTCACTGGAGTCAGACTTGCTCACTCTCCTGTGTACCACCAGAGTGGATGACGTTACCTAGGGACAGTGGCAGGGGTGGCTAAGCAGAGCCAAGAAGCGAAGACAGAGGAAGGGGCAGGAGCTTGGGACAGACCTGTACATTCTGCTCCTCCCACCGGAGGAAGACATGTCAAACCTGCAAAAGCCCCTTCTTTACAATTTCCAGACCAGCTTTGATAGAACACATGGTATTTCAGGACACAACCTCAAAGGATTCTGGGCATGAGGAAGTTACTTGTAGAACCATTTTTTAATTTTACCGACAAGATCTTGTTTTCCTTCCCTAACACTCCTTTGTCCTTAGGGTGGCAGAGGAAGGTGATTACAGTCTCATCTTGGTAGGGCCAACTCCAGACTTGGGAGAAGCCTAGTCAGACCCCCAAGCTGGACCAGTCCAAGAATCAGGCACATTACTATGGGAACGGACACTGTGGACTGATGCCATTCAGCTTCTAGGTTCTTCTAATCAGCAGCCCGGATTCAGATCCCTGATGGCTGCCTGGGGAGAACATCTCAGCGCTGGCTGCCCTGAGTCACTTGGCAAGTGGAGTTCTCACTGCACATTAATAAATTGATTTTTCTGGTTTTATTTTGAAAACAAAGAAAAGAATAGCGTTAACGTCAAGGGAGGTCATCAGAGAGAACAGGGGTAACAAGGAAGCAACATGGAGCCTGTGGGTGTTTGGTGAAGGTAAGTGAGGGTGGGCTGGGGCTGTTAGGTGGGCGTGGCTTCCTGCGAAGGCTTTCAATGGCGTCTTTCAGATCCATTCTTTATCTGTGCGGTGCATGGGGGTTAGGTAGGAGTGTCAAAGCACCGCAGCTACAGAGAGAGGAACAAATGACCCTGCTGGGGACTATTGGAGGAAGTATTTTTGGACACTAAAAGGAAGTAGATCTTTACACAGCCTGGAGCCTTTGAATGGAGCCCATCACCCCCATGGGGTTGGAGGTGAAAATTAACAATGGGCCCCTAGAGTCATGTATATTAGCTGTACTGGTCATTAGGGTCAACCTATGAAAAACAAGTCACCATGTTCCCGAAGTAAAGTTCCCTGTAGTTCTCCAGAGGAAACCATCTAGCCCCATTAAGTTCCTGGGGTGCTGGGAACACACAGTCTCCTTTCTCTACGGGGCAGCGGTGTTGCGTCTCTAGTTTCTCTTACCACCTTCCCCTCAATTGGTAAACCCGGCTCTAACAGACCCTCCTCTCAGAAGCCCTCTTGACTTTCCAGAGCATGGCTGGTGGCTGCTTCCACTTTACAAAGCACACCTCCACCCCATCCTACCGTCATTTGTCTGCACAACTTCGCTACAAACTTCTCTGGGACAGACTGTGCCCCTGTGGGGGAAATGAAGGTTGACTAAGCCAGGAAGTGTTGGGCTCTACCGTTTATGGCATGGGCAGAGTTCCTCATGGGCTTTCCAGATCTTTGTCTCTATGTCACGTGGACAACCCTCTTCTTCCTCCTGGACAGACGCCTGCTCATCTCGGCTAACATACACATGCTTGTCTCCAGAGCAGCCATCTGGGCGGCTGAAGGGAAGTAGCCAAGAGGCTTGTTGAGATTTCAGTGTCTTTAACTGTGTCTCTGAGGCAAGTGAGCCAGCTCCCCAGAAATCTGGTCTAGAAGTATTGCCAATGCACATTCCAGAGACTGGGAGATTCTAGAAAAACAGACAGATCACCTTTCATGCTGAAATCACTGGGCACTGTCTTTGAAAGTTGGGTCTCCTTCCAGTCCGTAGGTTGTGAATGACACACAGTCTGTGGAAGCGTTATGAGATCACGCAGCATGCTGAGGTCTGAAAATTTCAAGACATGTTTAACCAGAGATCAATCAAACACTGCATATACATGTTAAAGAAGTAAAAGGAAAACAAACAAACAAACAAAACCAAGAAGCCCAAACCAAACCAAACCCAAACCAGCAGCAAATACAGTCATCAGGAAGTAGAGGCGGAAAGATTAGAGGTTCAAAGCCAACTCCAGATTACTAGAGTGTTCGAGGCCAGCCTGGGATATGCAAGAGTCTGTCTCAAAAGATAATAAAGCAAAATTCTGGAAGACATGAACCTTGATTGCAAATCTCAATTTTAATCCATTTAAACAATCATTTGACCTGAACTTCTGGAAGATGTCAATGGTCAATTTTAAAATAAACAAACATACTGTGGTCACTTTTGGGGGCCTGTCCTTCTTTCCGGACTATATATGCCCCCACAGTGGAGGGGTGACCTCAGTACATATCCCCAGGGCCCAGCAGAGGACCTTGAACACACGGGCAGCTTCATAGCTCTCAGAGGAGTGAGCCAGCATCTGCAGGTGTTATTACTTCATTAACTTAACAGCAAATGTAAAGTGATTGGAGGAACTACACGTGTGAGAACCAAGTGAAATGCTGCAGACTGTTTATGTTTTCACTCCCCTAAACAAGTTTGTTTGACCCGCCTGCACCTGCAGTGGTATGCCTGACTGATCGCACATGCGCAGGAGGTAGGTGGGCAGGGAATATGTCATGATGTACTTGCCCCTGATTGGATGTAGGTGTGTGTGTGGGGGGGTGGGTATATATGCAGGAAATACGTCAGGATATTCTTGCCCCTGATTGGACTTGATGGGAAATACTGAGGCATTGTGGGACTGCCTTTTTAAGCCTCTGCAAGGCATGACTTGTGCTTTTTTCTGGAAACCCAGAGATAGACCTGGCCAAAGAGACCATCCACCTGGCCAGTATTTAGTTAAAGCTTGCTTCAGATTTGGCTTTAACTGTGGTAGTGGTCTTATTCTCGACTGGTGGGATTAACACATGCAGATGCTGGCTCACTCCTCTGAGAGCTACGAAGCTGCCCGTGTGTTCAAGGTCCTCTGCTGGGCCCTGGGGATACGTACTGAGGTCACCCCTCCACTGTGGGGTATATAGTCTGGAAAGAGGGACAGGCCCCCAAAAGTGACCACAGAAATGACTCATGAGGTTTTTCCTTTGGGACATCGAGAAGGTTCTGCTAGTGTACAGTCAGGGGTGGGGGAAGATCTACCCGAGGAAGTGATTTGTAAGCTAACGGTAGTGACTCATAAGCTTAAACTGCCACTGAGGTGGTGGGGACAAGAATGCCCCAAGAAGATAGGGTCTGGAGTCCCAAGACCCACAAGAGCTCAAGATTGCAGAACTGCTAGAACACGGAGTGGGAAACGGTGAGGGAAGTCTTGAGACACAGGCGGAGACAACATAAAAATATTTAACAACTGAGGCATATGAATATGGATTCATAAACACATAAACTCCAAAATGTAAAATGTATGCCATTTCATCCTCTAAATTGGCTAGATTATAGATATTATCCAGTCTCTTCCTAAGAGCTTTAAGGAGTAGTACGAACTGTTCATAGGTTGGACTCCTTTTGCTCAATTATGTACTGCCACTGATAAACAGTTCTGATAAAACTGTCCAACGATTTTCCCACTAAATTGCTGGGCATTAAATAACGAGTCATCTCAAGAGGAGAAGAATTCACCTGACTTCAACAGGATTTTGCAAAATGCTTTTCTCTCAACATTGGCAGAACTAACAATTGTGTTAGCAAAATTTCTTAGCCCTTATAATACTGTCTTAGATTTTTATCTACTCAATATCTCCATATTGACTAACTCATGAAATTTGCACATTAGAATACCGCAATACTGTGCCATGGCTGGCTGGGGCTTTCTAGCTGGCAGTTCAGTGCTGGGCTGGGAGCTTAGAATTCTGGCTCAGCCACTCAGCTTAACCTCCACGCACCTCCATTTCTCTCATTTAGAAGATGGAGATCATTATATCTACAGTCCTCAACTGAATTCACACACATTAGTGGAGCTGGCACTCCCTATCCATTAGCCATCACTTTTCGGAATTCAATTAATATGGTGAATGCCCAGGCCAAGCGAGCATTGGGTAAGTTTTAGCCAAGCCTTGCAATAACTGAAGAATTCAATAGAGATGTGTTTCATACTGGTCTCCCAAGCACCCTTGCGGGTGCAGATTGCTCCCAAAGAAACCCCGACTAGCTCCTACAGAGAGCCTAGGATGCCCATCTCCTCTCTCAATTGTTGCTGTATACTCTAGGACTCGGTCCAACCGAAGCCTGGGTGTTCACATGTGGCCAGGCGAGGAAAACACTGAGAGAGTCCTGACATAGCAGTTGGTCACAGCCTTGGAATAGCCCGAGTACCATTGCCTCCATCAAGGATATCATTACTGCTTCCGTGAGGTTTGAGAGCATTGTAGTTAGAGGACCTCACTGGGGAAAGGTCTGGAGATTTTGAACTGGTCTGATCAATGAAGAACAAAATAATCCCTGAGCAACACTCTCCAGGGGCGAGGAGGAGCAGAGTTCTAAGAAATGGAACACAAACATGAGATAATTCTCTCATGATAGAAACAATGTCAATGTACAATCATCCATCCTTTAAAGGATCTGACTGGCACAAACATCAGCCAATCAGGACAGATTCAGCATTAAGTCTTTAGTTGATAGGAGGCAGGCAGGTGGTTTCAAATTATGGAAGAATTCCAATGCTTAAACAATACAATCCAGGGAAACACAAGGTTGGATGTTATCCTTGAAAGTCACGTTCATGGTTCTGAACTCCATCTTAAGGGGACGGAGAACCATGAGGACTTAAAAGATCTGAGCTGTGTTTCTAGGAAGGTTCTCTGAGAACCATATGAAGGAAGATAAGGCTGGAGATTAGGCAGCCTGCTCTGATGCCTTTTCAGGAGGTCTGGTAGGGAGATGAGATTTGATGCGTATAATTCTCAGGACTCTGCAACTGATTAGACGAGGTTGGTGGAGTTAGGGATGGAGGAATTAGGGATGATTCCTAGGCTGCCCTCATAGGACATTAGCTTGATAATATCTAACCATTTGCCATTACCGTAGGGAAATCAGGTGTCTAGATGCCTTTGGAGAGGGGAGCTGCTGATCCATCTAGTTTAAGACATGTGGGTTCACTTGGGGTACCTAAGACATATCCAGGCAGAGATTCCATAGAGTATCACAGGGGAAACAGGTCTGGCTGAAGATGATGATTTTGCAAACCTTGCATACTTACCAGATGGAATTTCCCAGAAAGAGACTATGGACTCTACGGTATAGAGCAAGAAAGGGAGAGGTATAATACCGAGGAACAACAGGTAAGGCCCAGGTGCAGATGAGAGGGTACAGGGTTGGAGGTAGGGGAGGGATATTTCACTAGAACAGAAGGCAGGAGAGCAGAGTGGCTGAGCACTTCCCATCCCTTCCTGCCTTCTAGCCTGTCTACTTTAATTTCCTGGACAACTGAAGACAATGCAATCACAGGCCTGGGCAAAAACTGCAGCCCACCACTCTAGATTTAGAGGATGGGACTGAGGCAGAGGGTAGTCCCGCTGCTGGGGGCCGTCTTCTTTAGGCAAGCACAATGCGGAGGTGTGGAACTTTTCTACAGCAGTTTTCCACAGGCTCCTAGCTAGCTTCACGGCTGCTTGTTGTCATGGTGATGGTAGCAGTTCGTTCACGCTTAGACTGTAGTCATAGTAGTGTGTTCTGAGTCCCTCCCGTAGCTTCGTGCTTTGGACAGAGGTACACCACCTCTTGCAGCCCACGTGTGATGGATATTCCTGAAGGTCCAGCTGCATTTCAACACCTCCCAGCATTTTAATAAACATTTGGTTCCTAGATTAAATCCCCTTTATTTAAAATACCAAGTGGTTTCTCTTTCTCTTATTTACTCTTGACTGATACAGAATCTTTAAGGAAGGAATTATTGGTGGAATTAAGTACTGCCGAGAGAGCAATAAGAAATAAAAATGTCCACTTGAGTTTGGCTGTTTATCCTGAGGGTCATTTTGATAGCCAAAAAAAAAGCTGAATTATTGAAGCTGCCACGAATATGTGCAGCATCCAGTCCATCTGCCTACATCCGACAGGATCCCAGAGCTTACGACTTAATGGTGACATTGTGTGGAGCACTGGATTCCGGAGGCTGGTGTTCTAATCTTAATCTTATTCCTGTCGAGGTCTTGAACATGGTGCAGTCATGTTACTTCCCATTTTAACAGATGTACAGCCAGGCTTGGAGCTGCATTTACTGCCTTCTAGCATTTTCTCCAAATTGACTCTCTCCACAGCTTCCTTAACTCCTCAAAGCATAGCAAACACTGATTGGAGATGGTGCTGAAAAATACTCAGAGGGTTTGATTCCGCAGGAGAGAGGTAAACCCAGCCAACTTGAAATATGATACCAAATTCTAGTTCTAGGAAACATCAACTCCACACCTCACAGAGAGTCTCCAAATGTTCTCTACCTACCAAACAGCCTCCCTGAGCAGGGATTGTTCTGAACATCTCCCGAGGCTCTGGGTTCACACTCCCAACCCAATTTTCCTCAGAAATAAGGAATGAGGAAGCTCCCCATTATCCCCATTAGAGGATAATGAGTTCTGAGGTGGCGTCCTTTCCCCAAAGACGACAACTCACAACTTGGCTGATGTGGTCTTTTCTCATTGCCACCTCCCCTCTATTCTAGAAAAAGAAGTGTATGGCTCATCCTATGTATGACTCATCATGAACAAAAGGCTCATGGGGAGGTTCTTGTGGTAGTTTGAATGTAATGGGCCCCCATAATCTCATAGGGAGTAGCGCTATTAGGAGGCTTGGCCTAGTTGAGGTAGGTATGGCCTTGTTGGAGGAAATACGTCACTGTAGGGGTGAGCTTTGAGGTTTCCTATGCTCAAGATACTGCCCAATGTCAGTCTACTTCCTGTTGCCTTCTGATCAAGATGTAG